GCTCACATTCACTAGCTACATGTAGCTAGCCTTCAAGGCTAGGCAAAATGTATTTAATCATTAAGATTATCTCCCTCCATCTTTGTTGCTGACATGGCATTCTATAAAGTTAATAGTATTTAGATGAATAGCTAAAATAAAGAGCATGGTTGGGGCAGAAACATGAAATTGTTGACAGGCAAAATAAAATGTATACTTTATAGTAATATTTAGATAGGTAAAATGCCTACTACCATTGGAGATGCTCTAAATAAGTATACTTTTTGACTTTTTATGAAATTTGAGTTGAATTTGAAGTGATGTGTTAAAGAGGTGATGTGACTTAAATAAGATGATGTGACTTAAATAGGATAGTGACTTTTTGACTTTTTGTCTTTTTTCAATCATGCCAAAATAATATAGTATTTTCGTGTTTTAATTTTATTAAATTTTAAAAACTAAATTATATATAAATATAATTAATAAATATAATCAAGATAGGATAGAGGAAAGAAACTCATACTTATCCCACTTTTTAATTATGATGAAAAACTCTCACAATATAGAGGTAGAGGAGCGTTGGTGAGAAAATGAGTAAATTTCAGTGTGCATATGATTTTCACACAATGTAGAACATATATATGACAATGAAAAATGTTTGAGATTTCAAAATAATATCTCACTATTTCATCCACAATAAAATAGTATGATAAATGTTAATCTTTAATTTGTTACATATTTAGTAAGTATTTTTCGTGAGACAAATGGAAAGTCTCACACATGATCTACTCCATATGTGTGAAATTCATTTTTTATCTCATATTTATATTTTATTTATGAAACTTTTTTTTGTGTTGGTAGTATTCACAGTTGAAAAAATCTTCTTTTTAAGATTGTATTTTAATTATAAATTTTGATAGAAATATAGAAAAAAAATTAAAAATAATGTGAATAAATATAAATAAAATTTAGAAAAATTTACCGTTTGGCAAGTTAGTTTCGGGCTATTTTAGCCACAAAAGACAAAATAGGCTATTTTAGCCATAACAAACAAAACATCACATCTAACCCATAATTATTACACTCTTTTCTTACAAAAAAAGTCAAAAAAACCAAAAAGTCAAAAAGCCCTTCCCAAACTAAGCTTTTTAACCCAGGCTAAAATAGCCAAAAAAATTAAAAAGCCAAAAAATCAACCCACTTCCCAAACGGAGGCTTATAAATCCCATTTTGAGGAAGGATGGTCCATTTAGTCCAAAGAATTTTCTTACAGACCAATAAGTCTCATTGATTTTGGAAATGTAAATTTAATATGTTATTTAAAAATTAGATTTACGATTATACCCGTATTTCTATTATGTTTCATACTCCTTTTCTTCTTTTGTGCTAGAAAGGTAATGTACACAATCTATTTGGGATGAATTTTTATATGATAATCTTTTTTATTTGGAAAATATTTCAAAAAGAGTACAAAAATGACTTGAAACATGGGATTTCTCAAACATTTCAAAAGGTTGTGGGATTCTTCAAACATTTCAAAATGAATACAAAAATCCCTTAGTAAATCTTGGACAAATGTATAATTTCAAACCTTAATAACACTTCAATGTAACACTTAAAAAAAAATTAGTATATTTTTCCAAATATAACAATCCAAAAAAATTCTTAGTGTAACACTCCAATGTAACCAAAAAAAAAGCTTCGTTGGTATACTTTTTCCAAACGTAACACTAAAAAAAAGAGATATGAGATCCTCCAAATAATTCCAAAAGGATGAACGATTCTTCAAACTATTCTAAAAGGAGTATAAAAATTTCTTAGTAAGTTTTGAACAAATATATAATTTTAAATTATGAGTGTTACATTTAAAAAAATTATATTAATTTTTTTTTAAAATATTTTTTGTGTGCTACATTGTAGTATTATGTTTGGGATTACATTGATTAGAGTGTTATGTTTGAGAAAAGTATACTAATGAGTTTTTTTTTTTGTGTTACATCAAAGTGTTACGTTTGGAAAAAAAAAATACACTAATGAGTTTTTTTTAAGTGTTACGTTATTAAGTTTGAAAAAAGTTAACAAATGAGGTTTTTAATGTGTTAGATTGAAGTGTTACATTAAAATGTTACCTTAGACCATCTCCAACGGTGAACCAAAATTTTCACCAAATTTGAGTAAAAAAAAGCTAATTTTCTCAATTTGATATTTCTTCCTCCAACCGTGCATCAAAAAGGGAGGGTCGATCGGTGGGTCGACCGGCCGGTCGACCATCATGTTTAAATCTGATGCCAGGTTTGGTTCACCAAAATCTAAAAGCATCTCCTACGGTGAACCAAACCTGGCATCAGATTTAAATTTTGGTGAAAAAGTCACTTTTTGGAGCTCCAATGGTTTCAGCAAATTGGTATCAAAATGAGAATTCACCAAAAAAATCATCAGAGTGAAAACAAGGTACAAATTTCACTACTTTACTGTGCGTGACCGTTGGAGGAGACCAACCGGTTGACCGGTTCCCTTACAAATAGATAGGTTCAAACCGATCAAAAAGGTTCAAACAGGTAAAAAAAAAAAAAAAATTTGCCTTACCGGTCGACCCTCCCCTTTTGATGCATGGTTAGAAGAAGAAATATCAGATTGAGAAAATTAATTTTTTTTACTCAAATTTAGTAAAAAATTTAGTTCAGCGTTAGAGATGGTCTTATTAGAGTATCACATTTTTTAAATTGATTGGTACTTCACTATTTACCTTTCATTTCTTTTTAAATCTCCGTACAAAACTTTACCAACATTAAAAAGAGAAAAATCCACGGCCATATTACGGCCAAACAAGGAAATAGAAAAGTGCCAGTAGTATAGCATATTCTTCGTGTTTTTTTAAATAAAAATTATTAATAATTTAATAAATATATAGGGATCTTTTGACAAGCTAATTAAAAATTAATTTTTAATTTTTAATATATTTTGAGTCACATTACCTCTTACATTTTTTATTCATAAAAAAAAAGATCAAAAAAATTAAAAAAATTAACTCTTAACTAATTTCTTAAACTACCCCACAATAATAAAAACAACATTAAGCATTACTATTCAAGATAAAAAAATTAAATTAAAATTTTGAATTTAGTGATGTGATAATTAATTAAGATATTAAAAATAATACTATTTTTCTCATTTTTTTAAATTATTAACTAATTATATTATTTGTATATCATTAAATTTCAAAAATAAATTCAAAATGTGAAGTTGTATACTATTATTTTTTAACAAAAAACAAATTGATGATGCATATGCTTAGCTTTTTTAATTGATTACGTCCCCGCTGATGTCGCAAGCTCGGCACGTGCTCACGTGTTCTCTCTCTCTCTCGCTGATGTGGAACCGTTTTATTCAAGATTAAGCAACCGCCGTCCAGAGTCGGTAAAGCTGTCAACTCTCTCTCACCTTTTGACACGTGTTTCTCCATCAACTCATGTAAACTCTCTCCAACTTTATACTATACAGAGAGAGAGAGAAAAAAAATGTTGGGCCGCCATTGGACAATAACAAGAAAAGATTCTCTGTATTAATGCCAAAACATGCCCACCCAAATGTATATGACAGATAAATTCATATATTTTTTTTTAAGGATAAAACATAAATTGAGTTTTAATTAAAATATGAATCACTTTTTATAATTTTAAAAATTATATTTTATTTTTTGAAATTTTTAATTTCATAATAAATCACTCATTTTGTTAATAAATTATTAAATTAATTAACAGTTTTTAATGATATTAGAAATATATTTTAATTAATAATTTAAGTAATTTTATTATTGTATAGAAGAGTAATTATAAATTTTATTTTTTTTAATTAATTTTGTTAAATAAAAAATTCTAATAAGAGGTATTTATAATTTCTCAAACTATAGAGAGTAATATGTATTTTAAGCAAATCTCTAAGAATGACATTTTCACTTAATTAAAATCTAATTATCAAAAACGCCTTTGCATTCCTCATTTGTGTGTATAAATAGGGTGATTAACACTTTTTACTTTTAAACTTTTATTTTAAAAATTACAAAAAGACAACACTGTAAGGTTATTTTAATGTTAAAAAATATTAAAATACATAAATATATATATATATATATAAATATGCAAATATATATATATATATACATCTTGAAAAATTTTAATATATTGATATTACAAATATTTTAATATTATGTGTTTCTTAATAATTGGTATGATCTTTTATTTCAGTATATTCCTCCTCTATACAATAATTATATTTAATTATTTTTTGATATATTTCATATTCTGATGTCATTTATTAAACTACTTATTATCGAGTGTGTAATGTATTAAGTTTCATATATTTTCATAAAAATAAATAATAAAAAAATCTATATTTTATGTAGAACATTGTTATTCAAGATATTGTGACAATCAATTAAGATATTTAAAATAATATTTTTTTTTCATATTTTTTCTAATTATCATCTAATCATATTAGTTACATATTATTCATTTTTCATGATTGTATTCTCATACTATTGACTTTTCTTAACTAAAAAGCAAACATTTCAAATAAAATGTGTATAAAAAGTGGTGATATCCTAAAATATGTTTACGTGGGCACTTCCTCTCTTTTTTACCATTATAAGAGAATCACACTAAGCCTGTGTTTGGCAAGAACTTTTTCAGGTTTTTTTGGCTATTTTAGTCACAAAAAACAAAATAGGCTATTTTAGTCATAACAAACAAAACATCACATCCAACCTATAATCATTACACTCTTCTCTCACAAAAAAAGTCAAAAAAGTCAAAAAGCCAAAAAGCCTTTCCCAAACCAAGCTTTTTAGCCCAGGCTAAAATAGCCAAAAAAGCCAAAAAGTCAAAAAGCAGGCTAAAAATCCAATTGAAATTTGAATACCTAATTATTGCAATAAAAAAATAAGAGCTAAACAAATTGGAACACAAGTTTGAGAATTGGGAAGCGTGAACCGTGAACTCACCCATATAAATATAGACAAAGCCACCAAGTTCCTCTCTAGCAAAACCTTTCTTTCAACCCTTCACTCCTCTCTCTCTCTCTCTCTCTCTCTCTCTCTCTCAATGGAGTGGACCAGAGGACCCACCATCGGCGTCGGCGCCACCGCCACCGTCTCCATCGCCACCACCACCTCCGGCGATCGCTTCGCCGTCAAGTCCTCCGAGCTCTCTCGTTCTAAATTTCTCCAAAAAGAGCAACATTTTCTCTCAAAATTGAGCTCTCCACATATAATCCAATACATGGGTTTCGAAATCACTCATGAATTCAACAACCAACCCATGTACAATCTCTTTATGGAGTACGTACCGGCCGGCACGATCTCCGATGAATTGAAGAGACACGGAGGTTCATTTACAGAGTCCAAGATCAAATCATACACACATCAAATCTTACAGGGCTTGAATTACCTACATTTGAATGGGTTGGTGCATTGTGACATCAAGGGTCAGAATATTTTGATGGGTAGAGATGGACTGAAGATTGCTGATCTGGGTTGTGCTAGATTGGCGGAACACGGCGGCGATACGGTGTTTTCCGGTACACCGGTATTCATGGCGCCGGAAGTTGTCTCCGGCGAAGGACAGGGGTTTCCGGCGGATATTTGGGCTCTGGGTTGCACTGTAATCGAGATGGCCACCGGGTCTCCGCCGTGGCCGGAGGTGAACGACCCTGTTTCGGCCCTGTACCGGATTGGGTTTTCCGGCGATATACCAGAGTTTCCGAGATGGTTTTCCGAGACGGCAAAAGATTTTCTGAGCAAGTGTTTGAAGAGAGATTGGAGAGAGAGATGGACAGCTAAAGAACTCCTTCAACACCCATTTTTTGAAGAATTGAATTGTGGAAAATCTGATGAGTTCGGTGAGAATTCTCCTAAAACTGTGTTGGATCAAGATTTCTGGGATTCATCAATGGAGGTTGAAGCTCCCCTGAATCTGACCCACATCGATTCTTCACCGTCTGATTCTCCTTCTGAGAGATTCAATCGTCTGATCGGAAGTGATTCGAATTTGCCCAATTGGACTTGTGATGAAGATTGGGTTACTATTAGAAGCAATAATGGCATTGAAGAAAGCAAGAAATTTCAGGAACAGAGCAAGAACATGGACACAGAGGAAAAACGGTTAATTGAAACAGAGTTGTACATGTTTTCAGGGGCTTATTATCATTGCGATTCAATTGTTAGTGATGATTGGTTAGCTGAGTGGTCTGTTGAGGTGATGATTAGTGTAATTGAGTGCCTTTGTGTTTGTATTGATTTTGTGAAGCTCTGTGTAAGTGTTTCAAATGTTAATGAAAGTTTTGTTCTTGTTCAATTTGAAGTTCTCTCTCTCTCTCTCTCTCTCTCCTTTTACTTTTGTGTTTGTTTTATTGTTTTTTAGGATTACTTACTTTATACATGACTCATTTTTTTGGTTTTACATTAGGGAGTGTATGATATCTTTATAATTATTTTTGAACGATGAAACAATAATGGATATCTATATAAATTGTGATATAAAATTATGATAATTTTTGCCTTTTTCCGCTCATAGGATGGATATTTTGTTCTTAGACAAAGAATCGCTCATCATTAAGTTAGTTTAGGTAAATACCATCCAAGTTGATTAGTCCGTAAATTAAAAGATAATATCAATCTCTCACATCTATTTAATTGATTATATGAATGGGTGAATGAGTTATATGATAATTCTTTATCCTTAGATCTTATGTTTTCTTATATTAATACATCTTTAATTATTGAATTATGTTTCAAAATTTTCTTATTTAATGTTTAATAATACATAATCACAGAGAAATAGAAGATTTTTGACCCAATTATTTGTCACCTCTGAATGTGCTCAATTGTTGTATGTTACGTTTGGATTATGGATTTCAATAGAAATTTAGAAGGAAAAAAACGAAAAAACGAAAAAAAGATGAATAAAATATGAATAAAATATAATTATATTTTACTCATATTTTTTCTTTTACTTTCTAAATTCTTATCCAAATTTATAATTCAAACACATCTTTTTCTAATGCAAATGGAAATAGATCTGCGAGACTGGAAAGAAGTTTGGTGAGTCTGCTCTGTTTTGGAGGACCATTTGACTTTCAATATAGTGGACTCATATGACAAGTCAACCACTATTGGTGTTTTTTAGACATTGTGTTGTGTGAACACAAGAGATTTGAAATGTGAATTTGACTTGGCCCCCTCTTTTCTCTATCTTTCTCCATTGTTTATCTTCAATGGAAGTTGAGTCAACTACCCATTCTTTCTTTCCTTCCTAATCCAATTTGATTTGGTAATAGCCCACTTTAGATTAGCATTGGTACACCTACTACCTTGTTGTTCCAAGCAAAGGCACTAGGTAGATAACCCCCCATCTCCTATAAATATTCCATGCCAAATTGGACTGCAACAAGAAGAATTTTCTTGTCATTAAATTTTTTATTCATGTTCTTGATATCTTCCCAATCATATAATATTGTAAAAATTTAGAAACACAAAAATTTCAGCTTAAAATCATTAGGGCAAGGGTGCATTAATTATACTCCTTTTGATTTAGCTTATAAGTTGACTTTTATGGAAAAATTACACTTCAATGACACTTTTACAAAATATTCATAGATTAATGGGAATGTTATGACTTTAATTGTTAAAATTTGTAAGATTTATCACTGCTTTATAACTTTTTCTACTTTTATTTTTTAATTAACTTTTTTCAACTTTGAGTAATTTTTTTAAAAAATATTTAGTAGACGATCCTAAAAATTTAAAAGTTACTTTAAAAAAAAAAAGTTTACTAATGAAAATAAGCTAAATTTTGTTGAAAAACCTACGTAGTTGACTTATTTCAGTTAAAAATTAAATTTTTTTTAATTTTAAAAATTGTCTTACAATGAAAAACTTGATTCAAAATTTAAAAAATGTTTACTACAAATAAAAATAAGCCAATTTATAAACTATAATAAAAGAATATTAAAATTTGAGAATAGATGATCTTATGCCATGTATCGACAGTTAAAGGTGTCTAAGTAGATTCGTAACACGTTATTTAACAAGAATATATTGAATATGTAAATTTATTGTTAATTAGTGATACAACGTTATCGATATCCCAAAACTCTAAATTTTTACTACAACTTTAAATATTTAGCCATTGAATCAAAATATCTCCAAATGTTAAATTTTACTTCAACTTTAAACATTTAGCCATTGAATCAAAATGATAGTGGGAGCTTTTCAGGCCAACGAACCTACTGACGTCACCACCATTCTGTGAGAATCCTATGAATTTTCCAATGACTTTTAGTTGGAACATTTCTCAAATCATAAGTTGGTATTGGGTCACTAATAAAAATATATACTTTGATACTTTTTGTGTGGTACATAGGTTTTCTTGTGGAAACTCTATATTGTGGTGTCATGCATGATGTTTGGATGATGTATTATATGTTTCTCTAGATCTTTTTCAATGATGTCAATGCCTATGTGAGAAATGGTTAACTTAACTAACACCAAGTTTTCTAGTTTTTCCCTATTTGCAAGCACAAAGTCATGTGTTACTATGTACGAAATCATTGGTTGTAGTGTTTATAGGATTGTAGCATCACATGCACACCGACTTAGGTACCATCATAGTTCTTTAATCAAATCAATGCAAATGCAATGCATATTTAGATTCCATCATAGTTGGCAACGGGCATAGGAGACTAGAATAACCAAGCTTGGCTAGGGGAGACCATTTAAGATCTTTTTTTTTAATTTATTTGATTCAAATTTAAGATCCATGTTAATGGGTGGGAGGGTTTTTAAAAATGTAAATCCAGTTTTAGTGATTAAAGAATGAATGTACAATATACAGAATTGCAGATAAAAATAAAATAAAAGTGAAGAATTTTTTTATGGACACTCAAGTTAGATGTTCATTTTGAAATTATTGGGTCCATAAGCTTAACCTTAAACTTTTTAAGCTAAAATGACATTATCTGTCCAATAATTTATCCATCTCTCTATTTGTTTAAACGTAACTTGTTTGTCTAAATGCCACCTATATGTGTACTTGTCACCTATCTATTCACATCATCGCCATTAGTCACCACCACCATTGGCCACTAATGATTTTTCTGAAACCGACAACCTTTCCGGCATTGACGACTTGTTCTATGACTTTCAATGTATGTTCTTATTATCAAAAAAAATTAAACTTTTAATCAAATAATATATAGTCTCACAGGTATGAATTTTTCATCAATTAACCTATTTTTTATTCCTCATTTAAGGATATTGTACAGTGCTTGTTTCTATTGTTGATTGCAATATTTGTTAGGGGAAAAAACAAATAAATAAAAGGGGGAATTACACCTAGTATATGTTTTCAAAAATATTTTCAAATTAGTGGTAAAATTTATAAATATTAATAGTTAAATTCATTAAACTTTTTTAAATTTTTTCAAAAATGATTGATAGCTCGAATTTGAGTTTGCCCGAATCACCTGAATTTATGCATGCCGGTCAATCGTCTGGACGATCGGTATAACACTTGTGTACCGCGATTATCACCTTTATCGATCGCGGCTATTACCTTGTTACCAGACAATCGGCTAGATGATTGTCAAACCAAAATTCATATGATTCAGACAAAACTTAAATTCGAGTTACCAATCACCGTTCTACTTTGTAAACATCCAATTAACGTGTATCTTTTGCTAAATAAAATTCCAATGTGACTTGTGGGCCGGGCAATCCATTAGTGGACCCTTTGGGCGGACTTGGGCTGAGTCATCACTCGTAGGCTCTTTGACAAACCAATAGCCCTGATCCAATCTTGACCCAAGTACACCCCCAGGGTGTTTGAGAAATAGAAAGTGGTCTTCACCCAAATGACACATTAGGCATTTGTTAAAAGAAAGTGCCTTTTCCCTAGCAAATGGATTCGAGGGTGGAGATCAGAAGATTGTTAACCCTAACGCCCCTTTTGTTTTCAAAGGTAGAATAGAGAAAATTGATAGTGAGAGAATTGTTAGTGAAGAGATTAAGTAAAATTATATTTGTATTGATGATAGTTGTTAGTATAAGGATTGTTAAATTATTTTTATATAAAATAAATATAAAATAATAAAACAAATAAAAAAATACAAAAACATTAAACATTAATGTTTTAAAAAAATGCCCAACATGTAAAAAATTTCAAAAAAATAAAAATAAAATAAAAAAAATTCAGAAAAAAATAAAATAAATAAAATAATGATTTTTACTTAACAAAAAATATAAAAAATTAAACATTAATGTTCAAAAAAAAATACTTTTTCCAAATAAGGACAATTGAAGACTGGGGGCCCATCCGAATCCCATCTATAAGGCCTATCCTAAGACCTACGGCTTAGCAGTTCCTTCCTCAACTCTGTAAACAAACAGCACATTAAATGGGGCCTACAGCTATCCTAATCCCAATCCCCCTCTTATACCTCAAAACAAACGGGGCCTAAAAGAGATGCCAACAATTCATTTTTTAGTGTCTCGTGAAGTAAATTATTCGTTTACAAAATTATATTGATTTAATATGAATAATTACATGATTAGATTATATTTGTCTTAAGAAAATAAGTGATCTATTTTTTAAACTACTTTTTAAGACAAATTTAATCTAATTATGTAATTACTTATATCTGTTTTTTTTTTTTTTTAATCTTCTTCTCCTTTTTTTAAAATTTTAATTTTTTTATATAAATAATCTATTTAGAAAATATTTTAAAATGACCAAATTCAGGTGGAAAAAAAATATGTACGTATCTTCTTAATTAGACCCTTCATTCCAATTACTAGAGAGCTACTTCGAATTAAAATTGTTAGTTTACTATTCTTTATCGGCATGTCAAAAATGTTGAATTTAAAATAGTTTAATATAATTTTATCAAGGGTAAATTATAATTACTTTTTCTAAAGTTTTAAAAAAATTCAATTAATTTTATATTTTTTTAAAAATATAGCAGTTAAGACATTTTTTACTAGTAATTTGTTAGTTATATGAATGAAAAAAAATAATATTATTTTGTGTGTTTGGTTTGAGTTTTTTGAATTAAGTCTTTTGAAAACTGAATTTTTTATTTTTCGTGTTTTTTTATTTTTAGTGAATATTTTAAAAAATTTAAGTTTTTTTTTTTTTACTTTTTAGTTGCATCTTACTTAGATGTATTTAAAAAGTAAAAAATTCGTAAAAATATTTTTAAAAATTAATAAATATGAAAAATATATTGAATTCTCGTTTTTTTTTTTTTTACATTTTTGGTATTTAGTGAATTTTTAAAAGATTTTTTTCACAAAATTATAATTTTTATGTGTATTTATGTTAGGTGTGTTTAACAATTAAAAAATTATTTAAAATATTAAAAAAATTCAGTAAAAACAAAAAATACGAAAAATAAGAAAGTAAAATTTTCTAAATTCCAAAAACAAGCAAGCTAAAAAATATATTTACTTTTATTTATTTAAATCTTACTAAAAGAGATGTCAGCATAATTAAATTAAAAGTATAAAAATAACTTTATTTGATAAAATCTTGAGAACTTTTATAATAGTTAAAAAGTCAAAAAATTAAAGAATTATACGAGTCAAAGACTATTCTTTTTTTCTTTAATTTTTTACATATTTTTTCATAAAAAATTAAAAAATTATAAAAAAATGTATTAATTTTTTTCATCTTATATTTTAATAAAAAAATTACTAAAATAATTTATTCTCAAAGTAGTGTAATTTATCCTTTTATGAAATTGAGGCGGCGTAGTGTGTAATACCCTTAAACCTCAAGGGTAGTAAGTGCAAATACCCTAAAAGTATTTTATGTTTTGAGAGGGAGAGTGAAGAGGGCAGCGCACAGAGAGTGAAATAGCGACAATGGAGGCGGCGAAACTTGGTTCAGCGTACTTGTCGTCTTCATCTTCATCTTCATCTTCTTCTTCTTCTTCTTCGTTGTCCAGTACTCATCGCTATGAGTTCAGTTCAAAGTCTCTCAAATTCAAACCACGCTCAACTTTCTCAATCCTCGCCTCCTCTAGCGGCGAATCTGATTCCGGTAAAGCTCTCTCTCTCTCTCTCTCTATAGTTGTATCGATTACATACATATGTATATATACACGCATTTGTGTGTATATGAATCACTTCGTACTTATGTAATTGAATCTCGAACTGTTTGGTTTCGAAATTTGCAGTGGTGACTCTGCTCGACTACGGTGCTGGAAACGTTCGTAGTGTTAGAAATGCAATTCGATTTCTGGGCTTCCACATCAAAGATGTATTGTTTATTCGCTTCTTTCAATTATATATATATATAGTTTATTTTATTTTGTCTGGTTCTGTCTTTGTTTCAATGCTAAAAAAGGGGCAAAATGTAAAGAAAAGACAATGTTAATTTGTTTTTATTTAATTTTTTTCATTTATCTCTATTCTATTGTGCCTCGTAGGCTTGAATGAACTACTATATCTGAATTAGTTGTTTGAGCGTGAATGGGGCTTGGAATTTTTTACTTTATTCTCTTTATCTGAGGTTTCTAGGGACCAAAGGGAGCATCATTTTGCTCATATCATTTGGAGGTTGTGAATTCTTTGTGTATGTGTTTTTTCCCCTTGTAAGATTTGTATTTCTAAGTAATTTTTCCTGATGTTTCTTGGCAGCCAAACAAACTATTGTATTACTAGCTTCCCAAATTAAATCTATTAAACCTCAAATTGTAATTTGTTCTTGTGTAAAAAATGGCTTATTCCCTTTTGTTGTGATCATCAAGAGCCTTCTTTCTTTGTTTTTGCTTATTTTGTAATTAGGAGGGTATACCCTTCTTGATACTTGTAATTTTTTTCCCCCTCTTTTAATAAAATTCTCACTTACTAAAAAAAAAAGAGATTGTATTACTCATATAAAGGTTGGAACAATAGCAATAAAAAGTTGATAATTTCTTTCATAAGTATTACTCATATTCAATTAATTTTTCTTTGTCCCTTCATTAATTGTTTCATATTTTAAAAAATTTCTAGGTGCAAACGCCAGAGGACATTCTCAATGCAAAGCGCCTCATTTTTCCTGGGGTTGGGGCATTCGCTGCAGCTATGGATGTGCTAACCCAAAAAGGGTAAATTTTGTGCATAACATCTTTATTCCATTGTAATTCATGTTTGCAAAAAATTATAGTTCTGTTAAGAGTTTTGTCTAACAAGGTCATTCATTTTCTAAGAAATCTTTTGTTATAGTTTTGTTAAGAGTTATGCAGTGCCAAAACTTGTTACATTTTTTTTTAATGCGATTTTGACAAATGTACTTGTGGTTCAGTTAAAACATATCCAGCTTGCACAAGCAGTAAAAGTGATCAGTTTGCATCATGGATAAGGGTTGGCCCACTTTTGAATTTAAATAGCAACTGTTTGCATGGATTTGTAAGAAAGTTCATGTATATAAGTTTTTTGCAGGATGGCTGAAGCACTATGTACTTACGTTGAGAATGACCGCCCATTTTTGGGCATTTGTCTTGGATTGCAGCTACTTTTTGAGTCTAGCGAGGAGAATGGACCGGGTAACTTTGTGATGCTTTCCTTTTTTATCAAACAAGTTCCTTATACATTTGTTTGACTCAAGTTTTGCCTCCTTTGTATTCATCATCTTTATTTGGAGGATAAGAATGGTGAAACATGAATACTTGATAGATGTTTCATCTGATAATTATGTAATTTTTTTGTTTGCAAACTAGAACAAATTATCTTCTATTTTCCTAGGCATTGAACTTAATCATTGTAATGTGTTTGGTGCTGGTGGGCAGAAAATTAGTATATTGCTATATTAAATATATTATTCCCGCTGCTATTTTTATTCGTGTTATAATCACCAATATTTGTTGTCCTTTTCATTGTCATTATAGTTATTTGATAAAAATATGAAGTTGTATGTCCAAAGGTGAAGGGAGTGGAGAGAACCTTATAGGAGGATAAGTGAAACAGCTAGAGTTGTATTCAGACAAAAAAAAAAACGCTAGGATGGGTAAGCATGCTCTTTAATTCCAGAAGAGTTGATGGTGATCTTGTGTTTGGCCGTATCAATATCTGATAAAAGAGATGTTTTTCAATTTGGGCGACCTTGTGTTTGACCACTTCAATATCTAATAAAAGACAAAGAGATGGGTAGTAATTGTTTTACTATGTTAGTTTTATTTTTCTTGTTCAGTAGCAGGATGACAAGATAAGTGATGATTGGTTCATGATTCTGTGCTCTCTTTTGCTTCACCTGCCCTCCACCCAACCAGCCAGGAAAAACCTCTTCTTCTTTCTCTGTCTTACTTCTTAACACTGCCACTTTACCGAAAGTACTCCTTATTGCATCTTTCAAGCAACTTTTTTTTCCCTATCAAAGGAGTTGGTTTTCGTTGTTCTCATTGATCTTATGCCTGAGATGGACATAATTTTTTTTCTTATTCAATTCTGACAAGAATTATAGCTTCAATGCCTCAATGTTAAACCTGGACTGAAAACCAAATACAAACTGGATTACATTAATGGTATATGCAAGGTTATGTTCATATCCTTGTTCACATTTTCTTGATTCTAATAGAGTTTCTCACAGGAATTTTTTATCAATAGGTTACAATCTGTTGTTAATTAATTTGGTTTCATATGCTTTGCTACTTTTGACACCATAGTTTAAATATGTGGATCTCCATTTTTTTAAAGTTGCAAGTGTATTATTAAATTGGGTGAATTACACTAGCGGTTCTTGTAGTTTGGGACTTATATCACTTTAATCCCTAACTTTTCAATTGTGATACATTTGACGCTGAATTTTGAATCTTGTTCCAAATAAGGACAATTGAAGACAATGTTGCTCTATTTCAAGAGCAAAGTCGTCAATTCGATAAAATATAAATTAGTTTGACAAAAATAAATGTCAAAAAATTATTTTAAAAAAATTTTACTCATCAAAGGTAAAATTATATAAAAATGATAAATCTTTTACATTTTTATTTTTTTATTTTTTTACTAAATTAATTTTTAGTATGTATTTGGATAATGATCATGTAATAGGTGATTGTTTTTGTTGATATTTTTGAATGATTATCATGTAATAGATGGTTGTATTTGTTGTTAACGGATATTTTTAGTTATTGTTTAATAGATGGTTATTAGGCTTTTAGTGTATAATCGATATGTTTCATATATGAAATGTTTTTTTTTGATTTAATAGATTAATTTAATAATAATATCAAATTTGTTGCCATGTTTGACTTTTAAAAAAATAAAAACTAATTTAACGAAAATAAATATGAAAAAAATTAGTTAAAAAAATTATTTATACCCTCCCAAAAGATAAAACTATATAAAAATGATGTGTTTTTAATTTTTTTTCTTCACCAATTTAATTTTTAGCTTCTAGGAAATTTTTTCTAAAAATAGATTCCGAAATCGAAATCAAACAGAACTTTATAACAAAAAAATTCCAACATTATTCATTAAAACAAGAGCCATTATATTTTAAACAACATATAAGTTAACCAATACAAAATAAGTTGTATGACGACTTTGCCTTTCAAATGGAGTAACAATGTTTTCAATTGTTCTTATTTGAAATGAGATTCAAAATCCATGGTCAAATGTATCATAATTGAAAAATCATTGGTCAAATTGACATAAGCCCCAAACTATAGCAACTGTTAGTGTAATTTGCCCTATTAAAATTGTTTTCCCACCAAGTTTAACCGACACCATAGTTAAACTAACACAATAGTAAACTAAAGGTTGGTTTGGGATATCCTAAAAAAGTGTACTTTTTGTCTTTTTACGAAAAGATGTGCAGAAAAGTAGAGAGGTGATGTGATGGAAAAAAGATAAAAAGATAAAAAGATGGATTATATAGGTTATGCCAAACGAGGCCTAACATTCATAAGTGTTTCGCAGTGAAGGGTCTTGGCTTGATTCCTGGTGTGGTTGGACGTTTCAACTCATCTAATGGTTTCAGAGTACCTCATATTGGTTGGAATGCGCTGCACTTAACAAAAGATGCTGAAATTTTGGATGATGTTGGAAACCATCATGTCTATTTTGTTCACTCTTACCGTGCCATGCCAGTATGCTTTTTCTTCCCTTTTTAGTTGTTGCCATTTCATATACCTGCCACTCCTTTCTTTGATAATATTTCAGTCAGTGATCTAAGTTTGTTTATATTTCCATGTAGTCAGATGATAACAAAGAGTGGGTTTCATCTACCTGCAACTATGGTGACAACTTCATAGCATCTGTTAGAAGGGGGAATGTGCATGCAGTTCAGTTTCACCCAGAGAAGAGTGGAGGTAACATAGTCTTCCTTCTTTTTCTTTTTCAACTTTTTTCCTCATAAGATAATGGATGGGAAACAGAATCTCTCTGGTGACCATGAGCACTACCATTTGAAAACTAAAGCTATTCACATTAGACACCATATGGGCGTTATTGCAGTGAAATCAACAATTATTTCTTTTAATGCTGAAATATATGCCAACATCATTAACATCAGCTATAATTATTCATTGTGCTTATAATCCTCAAAATGAATGTTTCAGATGTTGGTCTTTCTATATTGAGAAGGTTCTTGTATCCAAAATCTTCCACAACAAAGGTTGCCTTTGAATCTTGGAGTTATAAAATCCCTTCTATTCTCAACTTCTCTATGAAACCATCTAACTAACTGAAGCTTCATGTGAAGACAGGGGCCACAGGGAGAGAAGGCTTCAAAACTTGCAAAGAGGGTAAGTCTAGTCTTTGAAAGTATGTCTTAAAGTTTTTATGTATATCTTTTTTCCTTGGAATATTTATAATTTACTTTATGCACAATTTTCAGCGCCAATTAATGTGATGGCTATTTCCATTTTAATGCATTGATCTGCTGGCCATCAGGGGCTCTATGCTGAAATGATTATACTTCTGATTAGGTAATTGCTTGTCTTGATGTGAGGACAAATGATAAAGGCGATCTTGTTGTTACGAAGGGAGACCAATATGATGTAAGAGAGCAAACAAATGAAAATGAGGTATAGCAAAATGTAATTCTTAGTCAAATCATTATGTGTTTGAATGATATTTACTTTAAACTATATGATTTGATTGGTGTGCAGACAGTGGTGGACATCTTGATATTATTTATATTCCCACCCAGCCCGCCAGCCAGCATCTTTTATTATGACACTAGTTGTTTTCTTTAATTCCATCAAGGAAATAATTGTCTATTATTTGTTATGCTTCTTCTTTCTAGACATTTATGTGAACTCTTAATTCATGACCTATTGATGTTGATGAATTTTCTTTACACTAGTCAAGGAACATCAGTAATGTAAATTTTGGTTAATTCATATTTTGGTCATATAATGACTTTATTCTTCAATGTTGACATATCTGCCTCCTGTTCAGTTTGTTTTATTCTGTGGACATATCTATACTCTGTATTAAACCAGAACAGATTGGGTTTCCAGCTTGGTGTCCACATGGAGAAAGTGTGCATTGTCCTTAATCCTTTAAATTTAGAATAATAAAGGGAAAAAAAAGAAAAAAAAAAGAAAAGAAAAGGAAAATATAGATGCTGGTGAAAAGACAAAACTTCACCTTTTTGAAAAAAGTAAATAATACTCTCTCCATATCCTTCTTTTCCCTTCAATTTTTTTTATATTTATATATTTTCTCATCCTATATGGGATTATGATCATGTGCATTGCTTATGCATCACTTCAGTTTTTTTATGTTTGGTAATCAGTAGTGTCATCATCTTTTTGAAGGTGAGAAACCTTGGCAAGCCGGTGGATCTTGCTGGACAGTATTACAAAGATGGGGCTGATGAGGTATGCCCAGTTTTGGATAGATGTGATGTTCATATTTTATTGAAGAGTCATGAAATTAGTTTTAAGCTTGAACATTGTATTTCAGGTTAGTTTCTTGAATATTACTGGTTTCCGTGCCTTCCCTCTAGGTGACTTGCCAATGCTGCAGGTTTGTCGGCACACGATTGACATGAATGTCCAACATAAATCTTTGTATATTGTGCTGTCATTTCCTAACTTTTTGTCAGTTGTTTTGTTTTTAGGTATTGAGGTGCGCGTCAGAAAATGTTTTTGTACCATTAACAGTTGGAGGTGGTATCAGAGATTTTACTGACGGAAATGGCAGGTACATTTACACTGTTCTGTTATTTACATTAACAGTTGGAGGTGGAATCTTCTTTTGTTCTTAACCTTTAATATCAGTTTTCCTGAGTTTGTCTTCAAATACTTTATTTACAAAACTTCTGCAGTTAGAAATTTGTATGAATAGTTACAACCTACATCTGTGGCACTGTTCCCAAAGGCACTATTCTAGTTTGGAAGTTGCTTCAGAATATTTCAGGTCAGGTGCTGATAAGATTTCTATTGGAAGTGATGCAGTTTATGCAGCGGAAGAATATTTAAGAACAGGAGTGAGATGCTTCTTATCAAATGTTTATTTACAATATGCTTATGCTTCTTACTTTTTAAATTTCTCAATAACTGCATTTTCTAGGTAAAGTCTGGAAAAAGCAGCTTGGAACAGATTTCCAGAGTCTACGGGAACCAGGTGATTTTCCCTCCAAGTGCTGTACTTGTTTCTTCATGATATGCATTCCCTTCCCACTTTTCATATGAGACAAGAAGAATTCTTAAGAAAGCGACATATATGGCTCTTATTGACAAAAAAAAATTGACAATGAAACAAAATTGGTTAATGGAGATGAAGGGAAGAAGATTGCTATCAACAAACCATAATTACAATGTGGGAATGAAATAATACAAAGAGCTTGAGTCAAATTGTAACACCAGACCAGGCTAAGTGTAGAAACTCTCTTTAACATACAAAAAGGGAAGAATATTGTGAGCAAGCTCACTTCTGTTGGTAGGTACGGGAGAGTATAAATATACTTTAATTGTAATGTTGGTTCAGGTTAGAAGCACTCTCTGTAGATATGTTCAGTTAAAAATTCCTACTAAAGACTTTAGATTAATTTTCTTTTTATGAATCTTAAACAACTAAAGATGGAATAAACATGTTAAAATTGCAAAAAATCTTCTTTAAGATCATATTTTGCAAGATCCAGCTTGATAAAATTATTAATTGGGTCTGCAATTGATGGTAGCTAAAAGATTCTCAACTTGGCTACATCACTTTTATATTTCAAACCACTTCATGTGCTTAAAGGGTGCCACTTCCTCTGTTACCAAGCTTGGACCAAGATTTGCTGGTACAAATTATGTACTAGAGACACAGCCATTGACCAATAGTAGAATTGTGTCTTATCATAACATGTTGCATCTGTAATCAGTTGATTTATTATCTGTATTGCAGGCAGTGGTTGTAAGTATTGATCCTCGTAGGGTTTATTTGAAGGATCCTCATGACGTAGAGTTCAAGGCTGTTAAAATAAGCAACCGTGGTAAGGAGACCCATGTCATATCCTTGTTTATTTGGTTGTTTTGGAACTATCTGCTACAGGAATCATACCATGTTTTTTTTAATATTTGGTTTCAGGTCCAAATGGAGAAGAATATGCCTGGTATCAGTGCACGGTAAGCCCTCATACATTTCATTACATCTGTTTTATTGATTTTTGAATAAATCTCAACTTCAGTCCTTTTTCTCCAAGTTAGCTATCTCAAGTAATTTTCCTTAAAATACTCCCCAGATCCAGTACATGGTACCCTAATTATTTTGAAGAAAAAAAAAAAAAAAGAAGTCAGAAAGAAATTACAGGGAGAAAAGGGTGTAGGATTCCTCTAATCGTTAAAGAGAACAGTTTGAGATGTTCTAGCAACCCGCCTCTGTTTTTGTCTCTAATCTAGGAGAAACTTTCCTAATTTTGACAAAAGTGTTTGATATCTTTGCCTTCTGGCTCTATTTTTCGTTTCTTGTTTGGGATACTGATTGTTGTATTGTTTTGTTCAATGAGGTCAGAGATCTCCTTCTAGAGAGTGTTACTGTTGACCAATTTTTCAGGTTAATGGTGGGCGAGAGGGTCGACCAATTGGAGCTTATGAACTTGCAAAAGCTGTTGAAGAGTTGGGAGCTGGGGAAATACTGCTAAACTGCATTAACTGTGATGGTAAAGCTTCTTTAGAACAATAAGCACACTTGCATGCCTATCCTTTAGAACGTCAGGGTTCTTTTTTAAGTTTTATTTTCCTGTTTTTTCTTCTTTGAATCTTTGATGCAGACATCAGTACAGATAAGTAAAATTTTGATTTCTGCAAATTAGTTCTTCAAAACTTGAGTGAAGCCAGTTCACTGTGTTGCAGAATTGTTGATGTTCATGGAGTTTGAACCTTTTATCTATATCTCTTTCATTCCTTTTTCTATTTTTTAGTCGTTTGGCAAAAATTGCTGTTAGTTATTTTGGTTTGTGCTTCAGTTGTACTTCAACGTTTCTTTTGTTAACATAATTTTCTTGTTGCTGATCAATAAACAAAATAAAAATATGCAAGTTGTATTTTGCAAATGTGTATGCCTCTTTCCTCTGTTTTGAATGCTTAGTGCTCTTATATGAATTTTACTTGAACTTGAAGCCATCTTTTGGAACCAAGAAAATCATTCATGACTGATTTCCCATACCATCATGTCCTGGGGGCAGCATTGTCATTTAAGTTCTGTCAATGAATTATATATATATATATATATATATTTTTCGGAAATTAGTTTTTCATTTCTAAGGTTGCTTGTTTTTGATGCCTTTCACAGGTCAAGGGAAAGGATTCGATATAGATCTTATAAAGTTGATATCAGATGCCGTGAACATCCCTGTGATTGCAAGTAGTGGTGCGGGAACAGTAGAACACTTCTCTGAGGTTTTCACTAAAACAAATGCTTCTGCTGCTCTTGCTGCTGGCATTTTCCATCGGAAGGAGGTATAAACTTATAAATCCTCAATGAGTTACTATATATTCTCTTTTGTTATTCTATTTAAGCTGTGATGTGGGATGTAGATTATTGTTTGCACCATTTGGAATTCATCTGGCATCGCTGTCCGTAGTAGACTGGTTTTTAGTCAATTGACAAACACTGCAACTTCCATGTGTTGTTCCCTTTTAACTTGCATTTTCTTTTTCTTCATATGATATGGCGTCACTTCATCATCCTGATATAGTTTGGCAGCCTAGTTTGACAAATTCTTTTTTCTTGGTGGCTTTTTTCGATCTTTTTTTATTAATAAAAAAAAAAAACTTTTAGTTGATTCTAGACTAGAAGCCCGTAATAAACTTTTTTTGTAAAACCCGATTTTTTCTTGGAGGCCTTAGTTTTATCCAATTAAGTGTTACTATAATGGCAAAGAAAAAAGAAAATAACAACTAGTAGAAATATGGATTTCTTTGAGGGAACTATTTTGATGGATGTTTTTTAGTAGTTTTATGGCCCTATGACCGATATTTTGCTATTTTTTGTATTTCAGGTGCCTATTCAGTCAGTGAAAGAGCACTTGTTAAAGGAAGGCATAGAAGTTAGAATGTGATTCGGTTGTGTAGTTGGTTGGACTCTCTCGAGATATCAGTCGATACTGCAGAACCCCTGCAGTATCCCCTAGTTGGGAACCGGTTTGGAATTATGATATTATGACTTCAAAATTTTAATTATTTTTTGTGGGTCTTTGGTTGTTGTTGAGATGCTGTTGTGTAATTTGAAGTGTCATAGTTACAAGCTTGAAAAGTTAGTTGAGTCCAGCATGTGAGATGGTACATGTTACCTCACAAATATGTTAAAATAATAAAAAAATAAAACAACCAACCTACTATCGGTTTAATTATTCCGAGTTTTGATTACATTAGGTTCAAACCAAAAATGAAATGATACTTCTTTTTCTTTTTTTGTTTTTTGTTTTTTGTTTTCTCGCTACTCTTTATTTGTTCTTTTTGGTGGAGGAGTTTGGTTTATGCTTATTGGAGATGCTCCGTTGAGGTCTAAAGGTCAAACCAATTTTGCATATGAAATTAGTGCTCTTGTATGTTGACTCAACTCTATTTTGCATTTGTTTTTAATTGGGGCTCGGATGGTGTTTCATTTTTATGAAACTTTGTAGGGCTTGTGAAGCACACACTTCATTCAGGGTTATACAAGAAGCTCAGCCTTATAAATACAGGCTTCTTGGACAATTTCAAAGGGTGAGTTCTAATCTAGTCAACGAGGGTGTATTATTTGATATCCTACAATTGGGTTAGCGTCTGCGGAGCGTGGTGAAATGTTACAATTTCACATTGGAACATAAGAACCCAAGCCATGAACATTCATGATGGGTCAATTTGAAGCGTTGAAACTCACTCGTAGCAAGAAGTCTAGAGTTAAAAGGGGCAGAAACTAATCTCTCATTATGTCATTTTCAAAAAAATTAGCCAAAGCTAAGAGCAACTCTCTCAAGACTGAAGGTCATAGTCATATATAGCCCAAAAAAAAACAAATCAAATAAACCTCACGGATAACATGTTAACAGTCCTGAAACATATTGGAACATAAGAACCCAAGCCATGAACAAATTTTTTTATTTTTTTTGGATAAATACCAAGCCATGAACATTCATGATGGGTCAATTTGAAGCGTTGAAACTTACTCATAGCAAGAAGTCTAGAGTTAAACGGGCAGAAACTAATCTCTCATTATGTCATTTTCAAAACAATTAGCCGAAGCTAAAAGCAACTCTCTCAAGACTGAAGGTCGTAGTCATATATAGCCAAAAAAAAAAAAACAAATCAAATAAGCCTCACGGATCACATGTTAAAAGTCCTGATATCCAGTAATCCATGTAACCATTTCAACTATACTGGACCTCAAAACATTTAAAAAGATAATATCATAACATTACAATGAAGATTTCCAGGCAATATAAACTTAAAAAAACAACGTTGCTCATTTCAAAGTGAACCAACCCGGCCAGCCGCAATTGAAGAACTCAGCTAAAGTCAAGAGTCAACAACAAAACCTATCAAAACTTCTTCAACCCCTAGACATTTTGTTTATTCATGTTTTAAACGATTCCAAGTATATTTAGTTCAGAAGTATACCGGTAAATCATATAATTAAACTCCAGCAGCTGCGAGAGCGTCTTCATACATCAAGGAGCAACCTCCGAGGATCCTCCACCACATCCTTGATACGGCGGAGGAAAAAAACAGCCTCTCTCCCGTCAATCAGCCTATGGTCATATGTCAGAGCAATGTACATCATTGGTCTTGGAACTATGTTGCCTCCAACGACCATCGGGCGGGAAACTATTGAGTGCATACCCAGGATTGCAGACTGTCAAAAAATGTCCAAATTTTGTGAGATGCTAATCCTCCAAAGCTGATAATATGAAATAATAAAGGACAACAGAGCAACATAACTACCCAATTTTCACCTTCTTATCCAGTTCATGTCTACACAGAGGAAAAAGTCCGAGAACACAAAACCGATCACAACCCTCTCATAAGAGGTGGGTCCCACACCCATGTGAGAGGGTTGTCCGATTTCTATGTTCCTAGAAGAACTATTGAGTCATACCTGAGGGGGGTTGATGATGGGGGTGCTTAAGAGGCTTCCATAAACACCGCCATTAGATACTGTGAATGAACCTCCAGCCATCTCGTCAATTGACAACGTTCCATTGTTTGCCTTCTTAGCAAGATTGTTGATCTCTTTCTCTATATCAGCAAAATTCATCTTCTCAGCATCACGGATAACTGGAACAACAAGACCCTGAAGAAGAAGAAGAAGACACATCAGCAGGGGACACCAAACTAAGAGTGTAGAGTTGAGTGGAGTCTCTGTTATATCAAGAAGTCATTGCAAACATTCTATACATTTACAAAAACAAAAAGACTCCTTTGGATCACCAGCAATCCATTCAATAATGTTATACATTGGTATCTTCTAAATGAATCAACCATAATTGGAACACAACAGAAGGGACACAAACACGAGACTACATGGACGCAGACATAAAAATACACAGCAAATATAAATCTATGTTACCAGAAAATGGTAATACCCCAGCGAACTATGATTGGTACGCACATTCCGAAACATAATACACTTCCGTTTCAAAACGGTAAATTTAGTGATCCAAAGCGATCCCAGAAGTTTTTTTTCAATATATGTCCTTAAAAGTTACCTTAGGAGGAAAAAAATCAAATATAATGAACTAAAATCTAAAGTGAGCTAAGTTTTGATGAGACAAAAAATAAAAAAACAGGTCATAATACTCATAGAAAATGTTACATTTTATTAGATGTTTAATAATTTTAGAAACATTTACTCTATAAGTACCTTAAATTCTTAAGTATAATACATACAAGTCTACCCCTATCGTACCGCATTTTAGAACATGTGGTGTACCACGTTCCCATTTCCGTTCCACTTTCCAGGTAACATAGATATAAATGCAATACCAATATTATACATACATTAATTCTTTAACTTTCATTAATATTCTATCTTAAGAATTGCATAATGTGGAAGATGAAGTTGACCGAGTTCATTTTCGAATATTATAATACATAATACTGACACTAATCTCTCTTGAATTGTTGTAGCCATGTACATGATGTCAAACTTTCTTCAAAACAAGAAGTGTTTTGTACTTCGGGCTATGTTGGGTTAGTGCCCCCAAAATAATATGTATTTTGAATTATCGACACATCCATGGTGATAAAGTGCTTGATTTCAACTCTTATCAACACATCCAAGATGTGTGTGTGTGTATGTGAATATATCCCTAGATTAGGGGTTCAAATGGATCTAACAACAAGACACAAAATGCATCCAACAAGCCCCACATTTTTTTAAGACCAGAGTTTAATGAGATTAGTACTGCACATTTCACTATTTTGTTAGTTGAAACAGAAACATACTAAATCAACCAAAATTTGACAAACCTTTGGAGTACCAACGGCTATGCTGATGTCTATATAGTCTCTGTATATGATATCATCTCCATCAATTACAGCATTGATTATTGGTTGATTCTGGAGCCCACTGACAGCAGCCTGAAATTTGAAACACTAATCGATAAATATATTTGAAATTAAACTATAAACGCAGAAAAAGCATGAACACTAATGCACATGAATCACATGCCAAGCATACATGTACGAGCACATCATTGACCATGCTCTATTCTAGCAATACAAACGACAGACTTATTACATACCTTAATAAACCCAGACATAAGTCCCAACTTGACTCCATGCTTTTCAACAAAAGCATCCTTGTAGTCAGAACGAAGCTTCATCAAATTAGTCCTGCAAGAAGTAACAAGTCAACAAGGAAAATAATACAATTAATATAATCATGAGTGGCATGTCAACTGTGTTAAATGAGCACCAATCAGTCAAGCCAAGGATTTCTATTGATTCCTGGGTTGATAAGTTGGTGAACCATAGCGCCCAATATGGCCAATATGGCGCTGACCTCAAGTTCTAACCAAATATGGTTGAAACTTGTACCGAGAAAGCCAACCTAGAAGAAAGCCTAACAATTAATACTCTTTAAATAAATAGTAATAACAATAAGCCTGTAGAATTACATCCATCCATTGGTCAAAATCATGTTTTAACTAACTAGTGAAGATCATGTTTCAAAATAAAGATATAATTGAATTTTTTTAAAAATGTTTGCACTACACATTCCAAACCAAGAACCGACCCAAATCAGTTAGAACTAAAGTCTCCAACCACATCTGTTTGGTGTGGTTTTTTGTTGTCAACTGGACTCCAAATTTGGTCAGTCAACTCTAGGTTGAGCAGCATCACTTATAAATCTTTAATTAAATTCAGCCCCTAATCTAATTGATAGACAAACCCTAAACATGGATTTGCACTTACATATCAACTTCATTAAATGTTGTCAGCATTGCAAATGTGTTTTGAGAATCTTTCAAACGTGTTGCAACTCGCTTCCTGAGCCGTGTCATAGGAACCTGTAATCATAATTATATGTTGAAGCAGGATGATGAAAATTTTGTTTGGAATATTCATTTCAACAAAAAATTTGACTAATGCATTTCTAGAGAAAATATTTGGTGTATAAATATGGAACTATCAGACTTACCCGTCTTTCCCTTTCTTTAGGAGGAAGTTGGGGTTCTGTAGCAGCACGTTTAGGAGCAGGAGCAGCAGCAGAAGTTGCCTTTGGCTTCTCTATAACAGGAGCACTTTCAACTTTAGGCTTTTTCTTATCTTCTTCACTCTTTTCAGCCAGGAGGCGGTGGTTGAGAAGCAGCTTTGTCAGATGTCTTCTCAGATGGAGCAACATGGGCCACACCTTCATCGGACTTTGAAATGACAGCAATCTTAGTACCTGGTTCCACAGTATCCCCTTCCTTTGCCGTAAACTATCAATGATTAAATACAGAATCAGAATCCCAGCCATTTTGAAGTGAGTAAGGGAGAAGTGCAGTGAGAGCTTATGTAAGAACAATAATAGTAATCCAACATTACCCATATTTTACCTTTTGGATGACACCTGCTTCAGGACTTGCAACGTCAATTGTCACCTGGTGGAAAATCCCAATATTAAGAACAATCAGTCCTATTGACAACTTCAGAAACTTGAATAACTAACATTACAACACTGCTTTACAACAAATACCTTATCGGTTTCAACTTGAGCAATTGGCTCATCAACTTCTACTCTGTCACCAGGATCTGCTCCCAAATATTAAATGCAAAACAACATTAAACAATTAAATTCACAAAGAATAGATATTTGAATGGAGGATATGGGGAAAGAAATATTAAGAGACATACTCTTCAAGAATTTTGCCAGAGTTCCATCACTTATTGATTCACCCATAAAAGGGACAACAGCCTCAACCAGATCACCTACATCACACATGC